AAAAAAAAAAAAAAGAAAGAAAAGAAAAAGAAAAAAAAAAAAGAAAGAAAGAAAAAAAAAATTGCCCCTCTTCTAAGGCCTCAGAATCCAGTGTCTTTCACTTAGTGACTCAGCCTGGCGGAAAACAGCCCACCAGAGATTTGCCCACTAGTGTCCAGAGGACTGCAATTGGATCTTTCTTTTTTTAATAAAAAACGGAATGAGAAACAGCAAAGAATGCCCACCCCCTCACAGCTGTGACAAGAGAAGGTGTGGCACCTGCCACCCACATCCCATGAGTCAAACACCTAAAAGCTGGCCATGACAGGCTTTAAAAATCCCAGTTGACAGAATGCTTGCAGTTTCTGATGCCTTCAGCTCAGGAACAGGGAGGGGAATGGGAAAGGTACATCTAGGCAAATCACAGGAGTGTGAGTGCGTGTGTGTGTGAGTGTGCGTGTGTGCACGCATGCGTGTTTGGAATCAGAAGGTAACGGGCATGAAGAGACAGCTGGGGTTAGAGCTGGGGAGATGCTGAGGAGGCACTGGGTGTTCCGAAAGGAACGTGCCTGATACCGCATTGCTCTAGGGAAGAAAGCGCTCCTGCCCTGTCCAGAGAGGAAGACGGCAGAGTGCATCCCCAGCCCATCTTACAGTGGCCCCTATGAGTAACAAGACGATAATGATGTTCTCCCAGATCAACGTGTGGTAAGATCTCCTCCATCCCCACCGTAAAGGCTCAGGCACGTGATGCACGCCTGGCGGTCAGAGGAAAACTTCAGGAGTCCGTTCTCTTTCCGCTAGGTGGATCCCCTCAGAACCAGTTCTGAGGCTTGGCAGCCAGGGCCTTGCCGGCTGAGCCATCTTGCTGGTCCAGTGTATTTGTTTTTCTGCTTCAAAAATCCACTGACTTTTTTTTTTAACTGACATGAAATTCACATAAATTTGCATAATATGAAATTAGCCATTTTAAGGTGAAGGCACTTAATGTGTTTGAAATTTATGCAGATGCCACCCCCATAAAGCTCCAAAGCACATCTCACTGCTCCGAAAGGAATTCCTCCCAACAGCTCCATTACCCCACCCCACCCCCAGCCTGGCAACGCCAGCCTCCACTCTCAATAGACTCATCTATCGGGAAACGGCAGAGCTTTATCTATTTATACTTTTTAAAAACACCGTGTTAAGGTGGCTGGAGAGATGGCTCAGCTGTGAAAACCGCTCACTGCTCTCCCAGGAGACCTGGGTCCAGTTCCTCAGAACCCACATAGGAGCTCACGACCACCTATAAACCCCAGTTTCAGGGATCCAGTGCCCTCTTCTAATCTCTGAAGGCACCATGCATGAATATAGTGCTCTCATATACACGCAGGCAAGACACTTATACACATAAAATATTGAGAAATAAGTGCTTGCCCGGTGGTGGTGGCACAGGTCTTTAATCCCAGCACTCGGGAGGCAGAGGCAGGAGGAGCTCTGTGAGTTCAAGGCCAGCCTGGTCCACAGAGGAGAATTCCAGGACAGGCTCCAAAGCTACACTGAAAAACCCTGTCTCAAAAAATAAAAATAAATGTTTAATATATACATATATATGTATATATCATATATATGACGTGATATATATATATATGTATATCACATTAACAAACATTGTAAGACTTACCGTGGTGGCCATTTGAAGCACAAACAGTGGTGTTTTCACACAGTTGTGAACAGGATTCAAGAGCGTCTTCACTTTATACCACTAAACAGCATGTTCCTCTCCACAGCCCTGACAATGCATTCCATTTTATTGACAAATAATATTCTATCATACAACTGTACCACACTCTGTCCCACCAGCGGTTTGCATTTGGATTCCTTCTTCTATTATAAATAATGTTATAGATTTATGTATCAGTTTTTTATGTAGATACATGTTTCCATTTCTCTATCTAAAATTCTCCGTGTCACATGTTAGCCCTGCGTCTAGCTTCTTGATAAGGATGATAATTTTGTCTGTTGTTTTGATTTTTGATAAAAAGTGTTCCTATGTAGACCAGGTTGTCTTTCAACTCAAGACCCTCTTGCTTCAACCTGCTAACTGCTGGGACCACAGACCACCTTCCTAGGCTGTGTTTAGCTCAGGAAGGTCTCTGGTGGCTACTTTTGTCATCGTAAACTAAGAGCTCAGGCCCACAGCTCAGGAACGATGGTCATGTTTCATAGAGTTCTTGGGAAGGACTAGAGCCCACCCTGGTGAGGGACTCAAAGATGTGTGGACATTGGGTCATCTCGGGAGCTGGTGTAAGCGTGGGAAGGCAGTGTTAGCATTCAAGGGTCAGAGGCCAGGGATGCTGAATTGCCTTGGAAGTGCATTTTTAAGGCTGACCTTGCGTCGTGAAGAAATGCCTCCACCCAACTAGCAGGGCGTCCTGGGATGGCTGGCCATTTTCTCCGTAAGAACCAGGGTGGCATCAGGACTAGATAGAGCAGATGCCGTGTCTGGAGGCTTCCTCCTCACTAGCCCGGGTGCAGAGAACCTTGCCATTTAGTCCTCATTGCAATGGTGTTCAGTCACCTCAGTTGCTATGACAAAATGTCCTAGGTGGTGTGGCGTTAAGAACAAGCAGTTCTCAGGGAGCTGAGCTGCCAGACCCAGAGCATGGTGACTTTCCCTGGCTTATAGATGGCTAAATTCCCCTCATCCTCACACAGGGGCGGGGCAGTTTCGAGTTCCTCTCCTTATAAAGTCAATAATCCTGCGGTGGGCCCCACCCTCGTGACTTCATTGAGTCCTAATGACAAGCGTTCCATCTCTAAGTGTCACGGCATCAGCTATGAGGGCTTCAGAGAATGGGCACGGGGCACAAAGTCATGAAAATGTCGGCATTTGAGGTTCCTGTTCCATAGCTAGAGCGTGGGACTGACGAGGGATATGCTCACCCAAGTCACGTCACTGAAAACTGACCAGGCTGGTACTGGCTCTGAACTCCATCATCCTGAACTTACAGTCTCCTTTAACCAGCACGGGGATCCTCTGGAGGATCAGGCTTCTGGCTGGCGCATAATGGTTTCCTATCCCCAGACAGAGAAACTGGGAACCGAGAGCCAAAAGTAATGTCCAAGCTCACCCAGGTCCGAACCAAGAAAAGCTGAGGTCCAGAGTCACCGCTTGCCAGGGCAGAGCTGGGAGGAAAAGCCCTAATCCGGAGCCTTGCTTATGGACGCTCGCCCCACCCCAGGCCAGCCTGGCGCTAGCCATGATGAGCCTCCACCCTGCCCGACTTAGTGACTCACTCTTGCTCAGCCGTCTGTGTCACTGCCCACAGCCAGCTCACACTCCCACTGTCCCCACTTGGAGACACTGGAATGACAGCCAGATGATTTTTAAGACTGTGCTTTGACCTCATTTTAATATTAGGAACGAATCTGCTTAACTGTTAAAATGAGAAATTCAGGGCCAGACCCACTGCACCCTTGATTGCTCAGGGACTTCTTTAGGCAACTCCATAGGACAACCCTGCCTGCTGTCTGCTACCCTCCCAATATGGAGTCAGATGACCTGGTGAGAGTCCAAGGCAAAACTAATCCTTGACAACTATTTCTCTTTCCTAAGCCCCGGATTTCTTACTTATAAATCAGGAATGATTTATTTACCTCACAGTTGGGCTGTGGTGAAAACTATAAGCAACCAATGAAATGACGTGGAGCTGGGGCCAGCAGCCTGGCCTGTGTAGACTTGCAGGTTAACCAGTTCATTTCTGGGGTACTGCTGGCTGCTGCCAAAGTTAAACCGCAGAAGGGCCTCGGCGGTGAACGCGGTGAAAGTGCTTTGACCGGAAATGCTGCTGGATTTGACACACCCTGCGCAGGCGCTGAGGCAAATGGGCGTGGCAGAGACTCCACCTGTTGGCCAGGAGGCTGACACAGGGGTGGAGTCCTGCCTCGCGCCTACCCTGCCTCTGAGGGTCTTGCCCTTCCCGTTTCCTAATTCCCTTTAGGAAACCAAGGCCTTGGTGTCGCAGGAAACGGGAAGAAAGAGAAACTCGTTTACCCTGGAGCTACCTGTTGGAGCTGGATCCAGGCTCCCCCACCTGAGCAGCCTGAGGGTAAGGGAATTGACTGTGGCCAGCCTTCCCTTCGTGGCCTCACTTGTAAAAGGCAGAGGGTCATGGCTTCTGTCTCGCAGAGTTACTAAGAGCAGGATAGAATCTGCCTGCTTTAATGTGGCCAGTCGCCCCTGAGACGTATTGGCTGAGAATACACGGCTCACTGTGTCTTGGGGTTGTGCGCCTGAGAATGTTTAGGGAAGATTATCCCGTACACTAATTGATGTGAGAAGACCCGCCAGTCACTGCAAACCACTTCCTGGGCTTGGGATTCTGGACCGAATGAACAGGGGAAGTCCGGCTGAGCAGGGCATGGCCACTGGATACCACCTGATCATCTATTCCAAGCTTTCTCCCCTACATTGCTTCTGCTGGGGTGTTTTATCACATTTTATTCCCGGTGTGTTGGCAGATGGTCTCTCTGGCATGGTGGACGCAGGCCCCTTGAGTTGTTACCCTGGGTTCCTAACCAGGAGGCAGAAGTGGGAGCTGAGGGATCCTTAGCGCCTGGTCCTGCACATGGAGAAACGTCAGTTTTGGTAAATTCTGTTCGTTACCGTCATCCCGAGACTAAAGCTCAAGGAGACAAGGCACAGACCCCGTAGTAAGTAGCAGAGAAACTTGTTTTTCTCTTGCGTTTGTGTGTGAGGGCTCCTGAACATCTCTGGTTCAGCTTGATAACCCCAGTGTAAGGATGGTCTTCACTGCTCTGTCTTACCCCTCTGAACACCAGACGCCCCGAAAGCTGGGCAGAGGGTTTCTACATCTTACTGCATTGTTCATAGTCCCATCACCCCGATGCAGATAGAGAGCCACTCTTGCTGGGTCTTCAGCCAAAAGGAAGGTTAGCTGGCTGCTTCTTGGCTCCTGTGATCTAGCAGGCTTCACCCCAACATCTGACTCCCAAGTCTTTATTGGTAAATAGAACAACTTAGTTAAAAACAACACTTGGCATCTATTGCACAGCATGAGATCACACGAGCTGGCTGAAGCCTCTCCTATTGCCACTTCTCCTGCTGTGGCCTGCCCACTCAGGCTTCTGCCATTGTGGCCACAGCCATGCCTCTCAGGCCGGCCACGGCAGCTGTCCCTGCAGATCTGGTAAGAAATCTGGGAAGTCTTTGAGGAGAGAGTTAAGCAATATTTTAGAAAAGAAAGAAAAATCTTTCCCTTGTTAAGAATGGGAAGGTGCATGTCTTTAATCCCAGAACTAGAGAGGGATATTAGACTGGAGGAGACAACCAAGTGGTGGTGGTGCACACCTTTAATCCCAGCACTCGGGAGACAGAAGCAGGCGGATCTTGGTGAGTTCGAGGCCAGCCTGGTCTATAGAGTGAGTTCAGGGACACCTAGAGATGTAATATAGAGAAACCCGGTCTCCAAACAAAGTTTAAAGTCTCTCTACTGTGTTCTTCTACATCAAAAATAAAGTACCCTTTTTTTACTCCAAAAGGGAAGATTTAGGGGTCAACCACAATTTGCATAAGGTAAAACTAAGCTCCATGACTGCAAACAATTCAAAGCTCAATACCTGGGTTCATTCACAATTCTGTAGGCTTCCCCAAGGGGCTTGAATCGTGTCTTTGACCCTACCCTCAGCAGCATATACATAGCCTGCCTTCTAGATCCCAGCCTGCTTCCCTTCACTGTGGCTGAGGCTTCTCGTGACTTTCACATGGCTCTGGTGTTTCCAAAGCTGCTAAGGCCCACTGTTACAACGGGGCTCTCCTTAGGAGCTCTAACCCTGCCTCACACTGGCAAGTCTCAGCTCTTCCCAGCCCTCTCCTCTCTAAAACCATTATCACCTGTGGTAGGAGACTGCTAGTTAGTTCCCGGCTGCTCAGCCCCGAAATAATCGCACAGAAACTATATTATTTAAATCACTGCTTGGCCCATGTACTCTAGCTTCTTATTGGCTAACTCTTACATATTAATTTAACCCATTTCTATTAATCTGTGTATTGTCACGTGGCTGTGGATTATCACCTAAATTGTGTGTGTGTGTGTGCATGTTTGTGTCTGTGTGTGTGTCCAAGTGCACAGAGTGGAGGTCAGAGAGTAACGTTCAGCAGTTCCTTCTCTCCTTCCACCATGTGCAGAAACAGACCTGCTGTCATCAGGCATGGTGGACGGCACCTTCACCTGCTGGCCACCCTGTCCATGTTCTTTCTTTATATTAAAAAGCATCGCCTCAAAGCCTGGAGACTCACCTCAGCACTTGTTGCTCTTGCAGAAGATCAGACTCCAGTACTTAACACCCATGTGGTGGCTCACAGTCACCTGTAACCACAGTTACAGGAGCTCTGACCTCCTCTTCTGAACTCCATGGGGACAGGGGACACACATGGTACACATACATACATGAAGGCAAAACACTCATGCACATTAAATGAACACATCCAAAAAGAAGACTGTTAATAAAAGTATGTGAGCCACCACCGCCCGGCTGAAGAAAGTGTTTTATGACGATGATCATGAAACCATCTCTTGGGTGTAGGGATAAGTCCCACCCCTTAGGGGGCGTGTTCGCCTCAGGCTAAAGTTCTCCTATAAAATTGGTGAGCGTGCTCCCAGCGCTCTCTTCTGCTTTCCTGGTCTCCGCGGGAACAGTGGTTCTGTAAGTCTATTCCTCCATTAAAGCTGTCTATATTTTGACAATCTGTCTGCATTCGCTTACGCCGGTACAT